AGCCGAGACACGCAGGCTCGGCTCGGCTCGGCTCGGCGCGGACCATGTCGCCATGTCGGAAGTGAGGAAGTTCACCAAGCGGCTCAGCAAGCCGGGCACGGCGGCCGAGCTGCGGCAGAGCGTCTCGGAGGCGGTGCGCAGCTCCTTCGTCCTGGTGAGCGCCCGGAGGAGCCGCGCCCCGGTCCCGCTCGGCGATGGGCGGCAGCGGGAGGAGCCCGGCAGCGCTGGCGAGGGGCAGAGCTGGGCAGGGAATGCGCCCAGAGCGGGGAGAGGAAGAGGAAGAGACTGGCGAGGGGCCCGAGAAAGGGCAGAGCTGGGTCGGGGCTGGGCAGAGCGGGGGATGCGCAGGGCGCGGCGGGGCAGGATTTGGGAAGCGCTGGGCAAGAGATGGGGAGAGCGCGGCTGGGCAAGGCTGGGATGGGGATCCCCTCTTTGGGATCCTCTGTGTGTGTGTGTGCTGCCGTGCCACTCCACCTGCCGCCACCGCGCCCCTCGGAGCCGCTCGGAGCCGAGAGGATCGCAGGGAAGCGCAGCTCCATCCTGGCTGAGTTGGTGCCGGGGCGCTGGGAGCGGCAATGAACGGGAACCTGAGTGCAGGGCACTGAGAAAACAGGAACGGGGCTCGCCCTGCTCGGGGTGCAGACAGTGTGAAAGCCGMACATGGGCAGGGCAGGGCTGAAGGGCACGGCCCGGCAAGGTGAGACAGCGGCAGAGSCTTTGGCGTGAGCCCGAGATATCCCGGGAATCGCGCTCGGATGCTGGGCTGAAAGTCACCGCGTTATCAGATGCGTTTCATCCCGGCGTGAGGGATGCTGCAGCAGGTTGTCTTTGTTGTGCTCACAGCTGTGCGAGCGGTAGTGCTGCGCCTCGGGAGGATGCCGGGGTCAGCTCACAGCTTCCCGGGGCTTTGTTGGATGTGTTTCACTGGTGCTCATTGAATTACTCGAGCGTGTAATCAACTTTGACCTTGACTTTGATGGAAGGAAGGTTAGTCAATGGGATATGCAGAAAGTGCAGTACAAGTTCAGAAAATAATTCCTATTAGCTCTCTAGTATTAAATTAAATGGCATGTGCTATTAACTAAATTGAGGGGTTTGAACATTTTTTTTTAAACAGAGTTTTCTTGTAAATTTACCGATTTCTAAGCCTGAAAACAAAGCCATGGTGATAATCTAGTGCTAGTTTTTGCTTCCTGTGTGCAGTTGTTTGGGGATCCTTATGAACTTCCATGTGATTTGCTTTCTCTCTTTCATCAACAATACACAGGGACAAAGGCTTTGTACAAGCTGATGGAACTTCTCATTAAAAATGAAATTGKGTATATAAGAGCAGAAGAGCTTTGCTTTACAGGCAAGTGGTTATTTGGTGCCCATGTCAGGTTGCTCTTCTCAGAAAGGGAAGGGAAAGGAAGGGTGGGACTGCRGATGAAGATAAATAAAACCTTGACAGGAACCCAAAGGAGCCGTCAGAGTCCAGCATCCATCATGCAGCTGCTCTTTTTCTGATCCTCTCTAGGGTTTCATTGCCCACACTGTCCCTGCCAACTTCTCTCTCCTTCTGGCAGGCAGATCCCCAGAGCTGCTGTGCTGCCTCGTGTGTTTGCAGCCAAGCACCGGAGGAGGGTGAGGGCAGGTGTTTGTGATCCCTGGCTCTTGGCAGAGCTTCCTGCTTTCGACAGTTCAGCAGCAACGGATAAATCCCAGCGCTTCTGCATCGCTAGGAAGAGCCATGAGCCTCTGCAGTGATCAAGGAGTGGGAAAGGAGGTGGCACGAGCTGATAGGACCATCTCAGATGGCATTTTGGCCTCCCTCAGTGACTGAGGATGAGGTTTGTTCCAACAAAAAGTGGTTCCTCTCTGCTACTTCATTGTCCTTGTGAGGCAGAATGCCTCCTTGTAGGGAGGGTACAGAGGGGATCCTGGGCAATGATGCTGGGGAATGATGGAGCGAGGGTGAGACTGAGAAGTTACAGTTTCTGATCCTGTTCCCATGGTGAGGCTCAGCTTGGTGCTGATGGGCAGCGGCAGAGCATGGTGTGAGCACATCCCCATCCCATCCACCCTGTCCTTGCCATCGGCAGTGTGGGGAAGGTGGAAGGGTCCAGCATCAGGACTGTGGCAGCAGGCTGTGATCCCAGCTGTGCCTCACCCTGGGGCAGTGCCGAGCTCACCGGTGCCCCTGGGGAGCAGGGGGTGGTTGGTGGGTGTGTGAGGAATGGGAGCTGTGTTTGGTAACTGATGGAGCAGGCTGGCAGGTGGTGCACTGTGTCCCAGGGGATCAGGAGCTGGGACTTTCTGAAGCAGACTGAAGTTGCACTGCAGCTTTGCGTGGCAGGATCCCATCCCCTTCCTGCAGCCTGCACTCAGCAGGTGATGTTGAGTCAATAAAAACATGGGAATAGTTCAATATTCCCTCGGTCATCCTGGCAGGTGCCGTGGCTGTCTGCTTGCCTTGGGGCTGAAAGCACAGCTATCCCTGGTGGTGAGCGTGGAGTAGATGAAGGGGAGATGAGCAGAGTTGAATGTTGGAGGTACCAGTGGCACTGTGAGGCTCTTTCAGCGTGTTGGTGGAGCTCAGCCTTTGGGCATTCAGGGCACTCCTYGAGACAAGGACCTGTCTGGAATAAGAAGCTGTTTGCAGTCAGTGAATGAAATGCTCATAAATGGAAACATCTCAGTGATGAAAGCTTTTAACGTCATGGAAGTGGTCAGCTCGACCAGAGCCTCAATTTGTGCGTTCAAGGAGATGTGTCTCCAGTCAGGAGCCGCGTCCAGCCCGAGGGAGTGCCATGTCTGGTACAGTGTGGTTCCAAACCTTCTGTCCTGCAGTGAAGCCCATGCCATCATTTCTGTCCCTGGTTTTCTATTTATGCTTGTCTAGTGCAAGGACAATATTTACATTGTTGACTTTGGCACGGCTTTGCTCCTCGTGGTTGTGAAAGGGAAGCGTTGGACATGGTGGTGTTCGGCAGCGAGGGGAGGTTGTCCCTTTCCAAGGTGTCCTGGAGTACCTGTGTCCACCCACTGCCCTTTGGACCAGCTGCTAGGATGCAGTCAGTGCTGTTCCTGTTGGGTCTGAGCAGAGCTGGGCTGTGCTGGGGAGCTCAGGGGTGCTTTGGGAAGCACGGGGAAGGATGAGGTGCAGTTCACTTGTTCTCACTGCTGTTCCCAGCATCCCGGCTGTCGCTCTGGCCTCGCACCTTGCTCACAGCCAGGCTGTGTAGGGGAGGAAGAGCGGAGCAGGAATCCCTGGAAAGCAGGCACAGCCCTGCAGAGCAGCGCTGGSAGTGCCRGGGTGCCGGGGGCAGCTGTGCTCTRTGGGAACCCGGCTCCTCTCTGCGTGCTTGTCTTGGTGAGGCTGCAGGGCAGATTGTATCTTCTCAGCTCTGAATGGTCCCTGATGTGTGCTACTGATTACAACTGGGGATGAAGTTCTGGCAGACTAATTGAGAAATAATGTCACTGTTTTATTTAAACAGACAAATTTAACGAAAGCAAAGTGTTAGTTGGCAGGTGGGATAAATGACACACTTGAAAGATAAAGTGAAATGTTAAGATTAGGTTGAAGAAAGGAGCAGTCARAGCCCAAGAGTGATAACTTAAGCCATTCTTAACCAAGAGATTAYYRGCATCTCAAACCTTGGGGCACTAAYAGTAATGTTCAGTGTTAGGAGTGCAGTTTCAGAGCCAAAATGCTGATGATACCTGGGAGAGGCATCTGGGCTAGAGCTCCCAGAGAGCAGCCAGAGACCTTTGGCAGTGGATGAACACGGGTGATTTTGGCTCAGACCTTCAATCTCCCTCCTCTACATCCTCTGATGTTGCTGAGTAACGGTGGGGAAGAGGAGCAGTGAGGCAGGAGAGCCCTGCCCTGGGGGACAGCTGCTGTGGGACCTGGGCAGTGCTCAGCTCAGACCTGGCCAGAGGATCCCATCTGCAAGGCATCCCAGCAGGACCCCATCTGCAAGGCATCCCAGCAGGATCCCATCTGCAAGGCATCCCAGCAGGATCCCATCTGCAAGGCATCCCAGCAGGATCCCATCTGTGCTCGGGTGTGAGTCCTGGCTCTGGGGAGGTGCCTGTGCACCCCTCCTTCACCCCATGGAGTGCAGTGGGGCTCTGTGGGGTTGAGCAGTTGAAGAGCACTCCTGTGTGATGGGATCCTGGGTCTTGTGGCACTGCCCCAGCAGCAGCAAAGGCTTTTCCTCAGCCTCGGGATCCCGATCAGCTGCATGGGACCCCTGCTTTGTGTGGGTGAGGCCAAAGCTGGGAGAGGCCCTGTGCTGTCCCTTTGTGCCCCTCCAGGGAGAGGGGGCCGTGTCTCCACCCTTGTGCAGCTTTTCCAGGTGTCATTCTCCRTGTCGTGACAGAGAAATTAAACGTGTGGGAGGCACAGGATCAGAGCAGCAAGCACTTGACAAAACACAGATGATGCATTTTCCCACAGTGCTGCCAGACCCAGTCATCTGGTGGCAGTTTTGAGTCTCGCACAATTGCTCTGATTTTCTTTAGATCATTTCTATACGGATCAACTGAAGATGCACTTACTGCTTTGCCTTAGAGACTTTAGAAAGGGTGCAGAGCCAGAGTATCTTATCTGAGARGCAGCAGCTGCAAAGGATTTGCCCACACTGTGTCAGCCAGTCCAGGGGAGCATCTCTGGGTACACCCAGGGCACAGCTTGGTGGCACCCAGGCRCTCACAGCTCTTGGCCACACATCTGCCAGCAATGGCAGTGTGGAGAACCCCTGCTTACAAACGACTGCATGGATCCTTGCCATCCAGAAGCATTCAGAGCATTCTGCTCCCTGTGTTCCGTGGTGCTGTGGGATGTGSTCCCTGGAAGCTCCCTGTGAGAGGRTGGGCAGTGTGCCAGCAGGAGATGGGTTTTGTTTGATCCTGGCTGGGCTGGGCTCCTACGAAGGCTCAGTTTCAGTCAGACTCAAAAAGGAGATATAAAGCTCCTTAATGGGGAGACTGAAGAGGTTTTGACTGGAGGCAAAAAGGCATTTTGTTCTATCTGTGCTTTTTTTTTTTCCAGCTTAAACTACATTATTAGTGTCTCAATTTATGCTCATGCAGAGCAAATCAGCTTTCTGCATAGAATCCTCTTTTAATAAGCTAAATTCGCTTTGATCAATATGAAGCCTGTTT